TTGTTTATTGTACTGTATTTGAATAATACCTTATTAATAGACATTTTGGGTGTTTTCAGTTTTTGAATTTATGAACAATCGTGGAATGAACACTTTGCTTGTATATCATTTTGTAGTTCTGTGAAATGTATCTTGCACATTTTAAAGATTTTTTTCTAGGGGACACATGTTTCTCCAGGAAGATGGCACTGATTTGCAGCACCACTGGCTGTTCCACGAGTGGCATGCCCTCCATGTTCTCACTAAACACAGGATTATGCTTAAAATAAAAATCTGTGCCAATATGGTGGATGAAAAATGGCATCTCAGCATTTTAGCCTCAATTTTGAGTACTAACAAGGCTGAACATGAAACTAGCTTATTTTCTTTTCAGAAGCCCCTGAATGTGACAGTGATCCGTAGAGGGGAGAAATACCAGCTTAGACTGGTTCCAACACGCTGGGCGGGGAAAGGACTGCTGGGGTAAAGTATCTGTTTCCATTTATTCACAGTGTGGCATCAATTGAGTGTTTGTTAGATAGAAAGCTTGGGGGAGGGGGAGGCTGGGGGGATGTTGGGGAATGATGGTAATCCCCAGAATGTGTGGAAACTAGTGATGAATACTTGTGGTAGGAATGAGACTGCAGGTATAGTGGCAGAGGGAGCCCTGCCATCTTTCCTAAGAGTCTCTCTGGTTCTTTCACTGACTGGTCATTTTCTTTGAAAGAATGAGAGAATGTAGGTGAAAAACTCAGAAGGGCTCTCACCTGATCTTTCTGAATGGAGGCACCAAACTTACACCATTCCTTTTCTTTCTTTCTTCCAGCTGCAACATTATTCCTCTGCAAAGATGATTGTCCCTGCAGAACAAGAACAGGAAAGCATCTTCCCGTGCCCTGGACTTGGATCTACTGGGGATTTCCTCATTCTTTTCTCTGCCTTAAGCATAAGGATCTGGAAGAGGCTGGAAGCCTGAACTTCTAGATGGTGGAAATCCTATGGCCTCCCAATGTAATCTCTCTGGTTTAAGGCATTGTTAAAAACTCAATTTGTGCTTAGTGTCATTTGCAAATAAGGCCATTGCCCTAAATGGGAATTCTTTGGATTATGGGCAAGGGGGCAGGAGTTATTCTGGCTAGTGCTCATATGACTTTATTCTTTTAGGAATTTTTTTTCAAATAAAAATAGTTTTACAGTGCTGACATAACCATGTTATCACCCCATCTGAATTTCATATGAACCTTTCAAACCAAATCTCAAACAGGGGTTGGAACATGCTCATAGAAAGTTGGGTAAAATGAACCAGCAATTGTTTTGAAGTCAAATTTTCACCAACATCTTTCTTTGCACTGAGGCATTGCTGCTGTGGACACAGAAATTGCTAAGTAGTTCAGTGCACCTTCAGCAGTTGGGCCTTCAGGGCCACAATAGCTCCCGTTGGGGAGAACAGGGAAAGCCAGGAGTCTCCCAGGTGGCCCATCATGGAGTAGGCTTCCTCTGCAGTGACCCACCAGAGGGAAGTAAGCTCCTTTCACTTCTGGAATAAAAAACTACAAATTAGCCTCTAATTTGACATAAGTGAACCTCCTAGTCATGCCCTGAGATCAACACTAT